AATACATATAATTAAAAATGGTTTGAAAATCTATCTATCTATCTATCTATCTATCTATCTATCTATCTATCTATCTATCTATCTATCTATCTTGTGAATGCATTACTTCCAATATATCTAATTTTCTGTGCTATTTAATCTACTTTCTTAATAGTTGTAGTGCACTGTACAAAGGAACATAAAAGACACTGGGTGCTCAGGGCCACATCTATCAATATTGATTCTGTCAATGCTGAATTAATTTATCACTGATACATTTAATCACACTAGTCAGTTCACAAAGTAGTTTTCTGAAACCAAACCAATTAATGGTTTGTATGTTCAAAAAATAAGCCTGGATATAGTTCTATTTGAAGTCCATGTTTTAATAAACATGGTAATAGTATCTCCAAATGGCATGGTTAAATGAATGAGGTACACTGCACATGGAACATGCTGCTTATTTCAGACATATATTCTAAAATTTCAATGAGCACAAATTCCACACCAATATCTATTTCTCTTAGAATGCTGTGTTCAAGACAATTGTTAGATAACATATAATGCTAAAACATGGTTTATTTTAAACACAGCTTGTTACATTAAGCTGTGGCTACCTTCCAACATTACTCTCATCATGGGTTACAAACCACAGTAGCTGGGTTAAGCCAACTAACTATGCCCAAACCAAAAAAATCTTATTACAGTTCTTCTGAACAATCGTTTCTGTACAATCAGTTGCAGCAGATGTCAAAAAGGTCTTCCCCATAAATTTCAATAGAAACTGATACAGAATGAAGCTTTCAAGCTCTTTCATTACTAATGAGCAATTACTATACAGACAGATGGTGGATCTACAGAAATCCCCTCTCCTCATATATATAGAATTGTGTCTCATGTCAGCTTTTCTCCTGGAGGTGCACAACTGAACACTCATAGTATGATTTAGCTCACACTCATATGTTTTTTATTGGCTGATTACAAATATAATACTGAAAAACAGTATTTTTTTTTTAAATAGAGTTGGTCAGGTTTCAAGTACTATTTCCAGTACTGAGCATCAGAGTTTAAGGATTTAAAGAAGTATGTACAGATTCAGAGAAGAACAGGCAATGAATATGATCAGGAAACTGGAAAGTAAGTTCTACATGACTGTATGCTTACGTTTATTGTCCCCTACTAGTTGAATTCCCGGAGCCCACTGATGACTTCTATATATTTTAGCTGTTAATGAATAGAAATGTTCATCACACATATAAGTTTCTGTTACGATTTGTTACCTTTGAAGGTTTATACTTGCTCAGTGCTGAATGCAGTCATTGGAATGATGTACTTCTTATCCCTTTACTTTTAATTCAACTATAATATTTAACCTTATTTTAGTCCTTTTATTTTAAGAACTGAATATGTGCACTCTTGATAGTGTTGGTCTCATCACCATAATAAAATGAATGAGTGTAGGACACGGAACAATGGAATTATGTTACATGAAGGTATATTCCAATTGAGTGTTAGGAAAAAAACCCAGTAACAACAATTCAACAGTTTTAACCAATTATCAAGACAGGTGATAGATTTTCATTCACTGGGTTTAAGCAGAGGCTAGACAGGTACTTATCAAGGATATTTTCATTTCCATTCCTTAATGTCCTAAATGGCCCTTTCAAACTCTAGGATTCTAGGATAAACTAAATTATACTCTCGTTAGTTTCTTGTCAAAGGACACCCACTAGCACAAACAGGACCCCATCCAATAAGCAGACTTCAATCCAGTCTGGTATTTGTTCAGATTAATCAATATTTTTCATCTTGGGAATATTTGAAGCTGAACAGTACTTTCCAGAAAAAGGAAATACTTTCATTTAACAGGGTTGTTAAGATCTCAGGTACTAGTCCTTGAAGATCTATACTGTGAAACCTGTTATCTTATTTTCTTGTCCTATTTTAGGATGCCAGTATGTTTAGAACCATGCAGGTTCAGACTCTGATTACTGGAAACTACACAGATTTTATGAGAAACGCTTGGCAGGACATTAAGGAAGCAAATCTGCAGTCTACACACTGGGTTTTGGAATTTCCTACATTTATCTGTCAAAGCAAGTGATTTACCGCATCAGTAATAATTGAGATGGATCATTGATTTAATGAGATTTTTTTATTTGTGGTCAGCTCAGTTACTTAAGACAGAAAGGAAGATACAGTATCTTTCGGCAATGAATAAGCCTATTCTCTACAAACAAAAATACAAATGCAAGTTTAAGGAATGATAAATCTTCTATGGATTATTCCTGTTGCTGATTACAGTGAACTACTGTTTCCTTCTTAAACATGACCAGTTTATACTGCTTGTCTGCAATTACAATCAAAATTACAGCTTGCTACAATTTGCTACTATATGGAGTAAGTTTTATCTACTTATCTACTTTAGAGCCTTTCTGATTATGAATGCACACAAATCTAACATCAGACATATCCTGACTATTTCTCTATTTTACAGGTTAATTTCTTTAATTCATCTAACAAATGTATTATTCTATACCATGCCATTTTATTGTCAATCCATTGTCATTTCCCCCCACAAATTTTAATTTCCTTAATATCTAACATTAGGTAGTTAAAGTCATCTGCTCTCCCCCAGAGTGGATAGGAAAGAGAAAGAACAAACAGTACCTTGGTTCTTCATCAAGTGGTACACTACTCTGCATCTGAAAAATATGTCCACCTTATGCTGAGGAATACTTATAATCTTCTCTAATAATGCGAGCATCTCACCATGCCCACACTACACTAGAAAATGAAACAAACTACAGTGTGTTCACAGATTCAACAATTTGTCTGTGTCAGCAACAGGTCACGCTGGACTTTTCCATAAGGCTATTGAAATGGCCATTACTATGGCGTAGCATGTAGCTGAGGTCATGTAGGCCTCTTCTGCTCCTGCTGACAGGCAGAAAATATGTATTTGCATCAATGTTCTTTTATTATTGCACTGCTGTTATAGTGCAGAAAGGGAGAAAGTATACAAAAGCCATGTGCACCACCCTGCTTATTCAAGAAGCAAGCTGTTAAATCCAACATCCAACTTTGAATATTCACCCTCACAATTCAAAGGAAAAAAAAGTCTTTCCAGTACATTTAAAGCAGTATGATGTAGTTACTTGTGAATTCATCTGTTTATTAATTATTTATGTCCTTGGTTCCACATGAAAATGTTACACTCATTACATTTTTTCCTGACACTTTTGCAGCTGTTTGTTTTCAAACCTCAGCTGAAAAACAATTAAAGAAATTAAATTCAACACAGACATGAGCCTGAGGTAAAAAGAGACTGATACAATCAAGTGTATAGAAAGTAAATATTACAGCAAAATGATATTGTAATGTAAATATCACAGGGCACAACAGCTTACATCTTCCTTTCCCACAACAGAACACCATACTGAAGCAACAGCCACAACTTGATTTATTAAAAACAGTAAAGCCAACATAAAATGTGAAGAACAATAAGCTCATAAAACTAGATGAACATTAATGAAGGTGAAATAATTTAATTTTTGAATATCTATTTTCTTTAGTTAATGTTTAATTTTTGGATGCTTTTACTATATATGAACCTTTTACTGATAAATCCAAATAAACAAACAAATGCTTGGTCCATAAGGTGTAACAGACATAAATATTGGGATGTATTTATAAAACTTTAAAAAAGAGTCTGTTCTGGCCAACTTCTATGCCAAGTATTTATCATCTGAAAACAGATGTTTTGTCTATGTTGAGACAAACTGCTTCACTTGTTCATTTGTTGTACTTTCAAATACAGACCATTTTATATGCAAGTTAAAATGGAAATAATAGGAAATATGGTATAACCTTTCCACCCCCTTTTCTAATTTTTTTTTGAGAAAAACAAAAATAAGAGCTGGGGGGAGAAGGGGACAACCCCCTCCCTCAAAACCTTTTATTCCCCTAATTTTTCTTATTTCTTTTTTCTGATATTCTAACTCATCAAATAGGATTTTTGAATAGAACGAGTACCCAATAGAGTTACGCATAAGCCCTTTATCTATTTCAAAATAGTAAAAACAGTGGACATACATATGTATGATACAGGAAAATAAACACGGAGAACTGACACATGGAAATTTGAGGGATCCATGAACTGCCCTAAAACTACTTGAACATTTATTTATAATATCCCTTTACCACATTTCATCAGTTCAGATTCTAGAAAAATATATATAATCACTGAATGATGCACTTGACAGCAATAAAATACTTTGATATCATTTTTATATCTTTATAAAACTATATGAAGATTTTTGCAAAAAATTATATTGGCCTGCCACCTAGTGGGCATAAAATACAGTTTTTTCCTTTTAATTTTTTTAAATCAGTGGCCTTATTGATACTTCTCTCAGTAAAAAAAGAAAAGAAAGAAAAGAAAAAAAGGGAATCAACCTTAAGACTAATAGCATGGCTGGCTGGGGAATTCTGGGAGTTAGTCTACACATCTTAAAGTTCCCAAGGTTGAGAAACACTGGACTAGACATTCAAATGTTTTTTTTTTTAACTTAGGAAGGAATAGTCTATTAAGAAAAAATAAGGTAAGGATTAGTTTTACAATCTATGCTGAAGTAAGATTTTAACAATAATGTTTTGGGTAGTGATCTGAAAGGGGAAAGGTAATTTGGAGAGCACATGATTGTATGCACACTGAACTTGTCAGCAGTTCCTTCAAAAAGCTTTTCCTGGCCTCATGTGCAATCCCACAAAAAGGCAGCTTTGATTCAAGGAGATGTAGACAGATACAACATGCATGACTACAAAAGCTTCTAATCACCTTTCCCATCCCTGCGCAACCTTCCCTTCCCTACAGAAAGGTTTTCTCCCTGCTTTTGTGAAATGGTTCAGATGGAAGGAATCAGCACAGCCTTCTAATTGCATTTTGTCTCACTTGCATACAGGTCTCTCGCTTGAGACATTCTTATCAGAAACAGACAACACAATCTACTTCTGTTTTCTTCATTTCCCTCATCTCTTATTTTGCTAAGCCACATTCTGGCAATGAAAACAAAAAGGGTAGAACACCCCATACGTGGGACAAAATGCTCTCTATTTATTAGGAACAGAATGCCTGTGCATGCTTGTTAATACTAAACAGTGTTTCTCTTCTCCAACGTAAGTGATTGCTTCTCTTGCTTTTGCAGGTATACACGTGAAATGAATTTATCTGCCTTAAAGTTACAGTTTATTGATCACTGTTTGTATGTTCGTGTGAAAATATAAACTATTTCCAAAAGTAAATGTAGAAGCAGATATTCTCCCAAGATTAATTTAAATAAATTGCCAACACCACACAACTTGGTAGGTCTATAAACGATATTTAATTGAAACAATAGGCAGTAATCACAGAACAAAATAGTTAAAAAGAAAAAAAAAGCACAATCACTTAAACCAGCCATTCACCCTCCAACAGTGACTGCTACTTCCATAATTTCTAGGCCATGCTGGCTGGGAACTGCAACCCCCAAACATGTTGATGTGGCAGTTATCAGATTGGGAAAGCTGTATTTTTTTTTCTGTTTAGATAAAAAGTTCTCTCTCAAGCCAAAAGTGAGAAAGAGCACTATAGATCATGCCTCTTTTAAAACTTAGGATATTTTACAACTTTTTTACAACTTGAAGAGAGGCAGGATCTGTAGTGCTCTTTCTCACTTTCTCTGGCACTTTGCTCTCTGGATTTGATCCATGAAGCTGTGAAGCACTACAATGCTTAAAAACTGGGTATGGCTGTTTTGAGGTCCTCCTGAGGTCTTCTGGGCATCATGCATGTATCCGCTTTGTTTTACTGGCTATCCAGAATCTTCTGTCAATGCACATATACACTCTGAAGACCTCAAGAAGGCCTTTAAGCAGCTACCTGTCGCCTTTGACTGCCTGCTTTGAAGAAAAGATCCATATTGCTCAAATGATTTGCACAGGCCTAGTAAACAGAGAGGCAGTTTGGTGTAGTGGTTACGGCACTAGACTAGAAACTGGGAGACTGTGAGTTCTAGTCCTGCCTTAGGCATGAAGCCAGCTGGGTGACCTTGGGCCAGTTACTCTCTCTCAACCCTAGGAAGCAGGCAATGGCAAACTACTTCTAAAATCTTGCCAAGAAAACTGCAGGGGCTTGTCCAGGCAGTCGCCAGGAGTCATCACTGACACGAAGGCATCCCCCCCCCCCGAAAAGTAAACATCTCTGCAGTACAAGAATAGAAAAAAAGCTCTCTACCTAGGTCTGGTTCTATATACTGAATATAGGCACAGATATTGTGGAATGAGGAGAATTTGAAACCTTTATTCAGGGGCTTTTAAACTTTTTCAGGCTGCAGAACAGAAAATTGCTGGAACTCATGATCAGGATTCAAAGAGGGGATAGAAAATTGGGTGCGCTCATTTTCTTTGCCCTTAGGTTCTCACAAAGCCCCTCAAATCCTCGTGAAACCCTAGTGTGAAAATCCTGCTCTATTCCACTACCAGGTAGTCCTCAACGTATGAGCATTCGTTTAGCGACCATTTGAAGTTATGATGGCGCTGAAAAAAACGACTTACGACCATTTCTGACAGTCATGTGATCATGATTTGGGTGCTTGGCAACCGTCATGCATTTATGACGGTTGCAGCATCCTGAGGTCATGTAATCGCCATTTGCGACCTTCTCAGCAGGCTTACGACAAGCAAAGTCAATGGGGAAGCCAGCAGGGAAGGTCATGTGATGTCTCGCTTAATGACCACAGCAAAAAAAGTTGTAAAATCAGGTGCAGTCATGTGATGCCTCACTTAAAGACCACAATGCTTAATGACAAATTTTCCAGTCCCTATTGTAGTCATAAGTCGAGGATTACCTCTCTACTACTTTAAGCCCATATTAAAGACTAGGACTTTGACTATTTTGTAATAAATATAACAAAAAGACTAAAATAAAAAAGATTCATGTTATGCATGCCTAAAAAGTAAATCCATTTTATTCAAAAACTTCTTTAAGAATTTATATACTGCCTTTCAGAACAAAAAGTTCTTCCAGGATGGCTAATAGTTGGTACCATAAAGGGCTGTTAGAAAGCATCATAAAACCAATATCTAAACACTTTAAAGAACAACATAAAATAATTTTTCATCCTTATTAATAAAATTTTCAAAATAGAAATTCAGTGACAATTAAAAATCCAGTGTATTTTCCTTAAATGTCTGAGATGAGTGGCCATATAAATCATATAAATGAATGAATGAAATACTTGGTGATGGTAATAAACATTTCTCTCTAAGCATGGATTTTCATGGAGTCCACAAAAATCAAATTCAAACTATTTTGAATTTCAAATGTTTTATTTCAAGGTCGAAACGGGCTGCTTTATCGCTAAAATGTTTCATGCTAAAAGCAGCTGTTTGAAAAAAGTGGGATTTTGAATTTGAAACTTGCACATGTGTAACTTTAATTTTTATGGACTGCTGCTGAAGGACTGCAATGTGGGTTACACACAGCGCAACCAATGGTAGCCCAACAGCCTCGTTTGAAATGCAAAATGTGATCAGGAAGTGCTATTCATTTATCTCCAAAAACTTATTGATTAGCTGCCTGACACACCTATGGAATGCTGAACCTGTGTTTGTTGCTAACCTTTTCTTCAGCCAAGCACGACTTTTTCTATCAGAAATAACAGCCTAATAGTAGGCTACTATTATGAACATATAATTGTAGTGTGTAAATTAACTCTAAACTATAAAAACTCTTCAAAGTAGGTAATTATTTAGACCCCAAAATCATATGGATACAATTTGAGATGTTTTCACAAATGATACACTGCTGTATATATTCCCAACTGTCTGCTTTAATTTGCAAAAAAGAAGTATTCAGAAAAATTTGAAAGTTATTATTCTGTCAACAGATCAAAAGATTCACAAACCTTTATATGTCATAGAATAATTTGTTCACATGTAATCTACAGATGAACTGTGATCCCAACTTTTCATACATCTATTTTAGAGAAACTAAGATTTCTTATTTAAAAAAGCATTTTCTTACTTTCCAAAGATTGATAATCGATCAGTTCTTGAAGGTTTTGCATCCACTGTATCACCATAGTCTTTTTTAATGTCTACATCCATCTGTGGCAACACAGGAAAAGATATCTTCTGCCACCTATTTAGATGAACAACAGACCATACAATCAATACTCTTAAAATTAATATTATTTTGGATAACATGATACAATTCTTTTTTTAAAAATTAATTTAAGGGTTAGACATTTGCATTCAAATTTAGGTTGAGATATGCTTTACAAAACTATTCAAATCCAGTTTCTCTGTTCCTTATTTATTACTTAACACCAATGGAAAGAAGAAAACCACACACATGTATAGAAACTACATTTGCTCAAAGTAAATTCCACTGAATTATATACGTCTTAATTCCAAACAAGCTGCTGTGATCCCAGGAAAAGATACAGCTGCTTTAAGGTCTGTATCTGTGCCCTCGTGAGCTTTGAAACACTCTGAAGCACTGCACAGCCCTTGTAAAGTTTAGCAATCTTTTCAGAATGTTATAGAAAATATAAGCAATTAAAAATCAGCTTACAAATGGATGTCCATTCTAAAAAATAATAGTATCCTTTTTCTGAACCAACTTCTTATATATTTTTCTCAATTTGGTAAACTTTTCACACTTTGTTAAATATCTAAAAATCACATTAATACTGAAACTTGCAAGACACAAGCTGGTTTAAATATTAATTATTTAACTCAGTGTTTTTCAAACTTGGAACATTAAGATGCGTGGACTTCAACTCCCAGAGTTGCCAAGTTTGAAAAACACTGAGTTAACTGAATAAAAGTCAGACTACTAAAGAACTGTCAGTCCCTGTATTCATAACGGACAGTGTTGGGGAGGGGAAATCTTGAATACACAAATGTGAGTTACAAGAATTTGAGAATTTCTTTCCCAATTTCCATCTCAAGTCAAATTGTCCCATTTGAGTTTTTATAAATCAGCTGGAAGAAATTACAGAGATTTAATTACTATTGTACTTAAGTTAGATTGCTACCTAGCTTTATGTCCTGGACATTTATATCTATATATCTTATATTGTTCTAAGCTCAGTTAAAGATTTATGGGAAGCAAAGAACAGTGCAATTTCTTCCATATGTCCTAACAGGTATCTTCAATTTGCAGGAGTACTATTCAAAAATTATGAACTTAGATCCTAAGTGGATCTAGGTTTATATTTTTTGAACAGTACTCCCACAAATTGAAGATATTTGTAATATATAGTAATATATATGTTCAAAAGTAAAATGAAATGAGTAAGTATACTCAATAATCCTAGCTAATATGTGGGATAGCTATTATAGGTTATAGGTATGCAAAAATGTCCCAAGGCTACTTCAACATTACTGTAAATGAAGCAGTCCTTCACTTTATTTATGTTCGGGATATAGCTAGGGAAAACTTTTGTATTAAGGAGAGTATATACCATGTGCCTGATGACATGCACTATGATCTACAAAAATAATACAATAATATATTGACTGTACCAAAGAAAAAGTAACCTAACCCAGTTGTTATTTACTCTACAATATTTACTCTGCACAGTGAAGGCTACAGATGCTGATACTGAATCTAATCCCAAGCTCTTCAGAGATCCAGTGCATAAGAAGAGTTTGTAAGTGCTGAAGCATAGATATATACCCTTTGCAGACTCTAGGGCATACAGAAACAGCATGGGGATTAGGAGATAGCATTGGGTTAACTGTACTGAATATACCTGAATAATTCCAATCATACCTTCATATGAGACAAAAAGTCTACTAGACCAGGGATGGCCCATGACTACACATGTTTGGAGTTATTCAGCCTCTATAGCTACTATGAACAGAAGAGGTATATCATGTCTGAAGAGCTTGCTTGCTTCCTCCCTTCCTCCCAGTATCTTTGTCAACTTGGAAAGAAGCAACACCCTGAAAGCGTCTGAATTATCCCAATGTCTCCTGCAGCAGCCTCTTATTTCTTAATGGGACAGTTGCAAAGTACTAAAGCAGCAAGCAGTTCTCCCTGATCCTTGTCTTATGTATTGCCCTACAGCTGCTAAATAAAAAGTAGCATGTTTTGGATTCTGCCACCAGGTGGCTCTGACTGGAAGGAGACACAACAAGGGAACAGCTGCCTGGCCCCACCACAGGCTTGTGAAAGAGCAACCACCAGAAGGTTTCTTTCTCTTTCTCTGTCAGAAAGAAATACAGAAGACCTTTGTAACTAAGAAGAAGTACCTATACTTTTTTCCCCCACTTCTGCCTGCCCAGTTGTTTTTCTTTCATATTAAACTGTAACCTTGAGAACCACTCCTGGATTTTCTTGTGACTGATCTTTGTCAGTTTTTCATCTGAAGAATGCTTCAGTTAATAAGATGGGGGGGGAATGATATAACAGGTCCCTTTTTCTAGCAAGCACAGAGTTTTGTGTCCACCAGTTGGAGAGGAGCAAGAAGCTATGATTGTGCAACACACTAAACCACAAAGTAGCTGGCCTCATGTTAACTTAATCTCTTGCCATGAACTCAGAGTATGAAGATCAGGGTTTCTCCACCGTGGCAACTTTCAGATGGGTGGACTTCAAGTCCCAGAATTCCCTAGCCAGCAAGGGAAAAACCACTAAGGTTGAGAAACACTGATGTAGATATTGTACTCTATGATTCTATCACCTAGTGCAACTCTAATCAGCTGAGTTGAGGGAACCATGGATAAGCTTGCCACGTCAATAAACCATAAAAGCTGCTTGAAGAGCTGGTCCCAAGCACCTTAGCACGCAAAACTGAAATACAAACTAACTGCACTTTTCCCCACTATTTTCTTAGCTCCATGTCTAACAGAAATTTCCCAAGTCGGCTATCTGTGGCATGGAAAAGGAACACGATGCAGCGGCGGTACTTTCTGGAATGGAGATTTGATGCCGACCGAAGAGGACTAGCTGCGTGAAACTAATCAGACAGGTAGAACTCCAACAGGTACTACTTTTACCATTAGTTTTTAAAAGCAAAAATTGCAACCCTCGGAACGAATAAGTACAAGGAGGTTGGGAGGGGAAAAAAAAGGCTGCAGCTCAGTCACGCTTCCCGAGCGGTGCCAAAATGTTAGCAGCGAATTAAAGCACAACGTGGAGAGCTTAAGCACAAAGCTTTGAAAAGGGCCCGCCGTCTGCCCTGGAGTTTCCGAGGCACCAACGGGGTGGGGATGAAGCCTTGGGAAAAACTGAGTTTCTCGCTCCCGAACCAAGCAATACTTGCCTGCCTGCAGCCCACGACGAACAGGCGCCCCTTCCCAGTCCTCTTGCTGCGGCTGCTTTCTGCAATGTAACGTCGAACCTAGAAGCGAAACCAAAAGCTCTTAAGAACTTCTGTCCCCGCAGCGACCCAGGAAGTTGCCGCGGAGAGAACTTGAACTCACCGATCCGCCCCGGGCAGCATCTGCGAGCAGCGCCGCCTTTGGGCCGAGCGCGCGTTTGGTTTTACAGGCCTCGGCCTGTGTAATGGCTTCGCCCTTTCCTTTCCCTCAGGCAACTGAGCTTCGGTTTTCGCCGGCCGGATGTTTCCTTACGATTAGCTACTTCTTCGTCTAGCCATCCAGCCTGACCAGCTCTCTCATCCTCACGTGTCTGGAGAGGACCAGGTTGGGGAAGTCGAGAGGCTTTCCTGGCGGTGGTGGATAAAGCTTGAATGAGCAAATAAACGTAAATGAAACACCGGCGAGATTTCACGGAAGGTGGGAAGAGGCTGAGGATGTTATCCAGCAATACCACCTTCTCCAACTTGATGCTCTCTAGATGTGCTGGATTACAACCTGCATCGAGAGCACCCTAGTGAGGATAATGATATAGTATTTGTACGTTCATTCCCACCACACTATGGACTCAGTTACAGTGGTGACTGTAGGAAGGAAGACCTGAAGGACCAGGTTGTCCTGGAGAAAATCTGTATGTGGTCTGTATTATTTCCTTCAGGGTAAGCAAAGTTATGCAAAGCACAGAAAGGGAATAATGAATACTTAGCTAAATAAATTAAAGGCATGCAATAGGAAAGGAAGTCTAGCTAAATCTACTTTACACCAATACCATTCACTATACCTTGCCACATCTTTTTATGCTCGCAAATGACTCTTATTTCCACCATGTCCATCCATCAATTTATATACTGTCTTTGTTCTTTAAAATTCTCACCTCTCTTAACACTTCTCTTCCCCATCCCACATTTACGTATACCCTCATCCTTTTCCAAACCTGGCCCCTCTGCTTTTGATCTCATTTTGTCAAATAAATTCTAAAATTTAAAAACAAAACAAAACAGATAAACAGGAGGTAGTTTAAATTTGCCATATTATGTTCCTTCACATTTCAATCTGAATTTAGATGCTATCTTTTTGCTTTATAAAGCTTCCCTAACGGACTTCACACAATCTTTTGATTGCTACAAGGTGCATCCAAATTTAATTTGCATAGCTGTAATCCTGCCTTCACAATATTAATATGACAGGGGTTTTGTCAATTTCTTTAATAGTTATGGAAAAAGCACATATGCAGCCAATGACAACATGTATACAATGTGCTCACCTACGTAAACAGGCAGCTGTCTGTTTGAAAGCCGTTATTTTGTGTAGGCTTTCATGCCAGTGTCAATCAAGTAGTGAGGAGCTTTGGGGCTCAATGAGCGTGGTCTACACATTTTGGGCATCCTGATGTTTCACTGGCAGCTGTGGCTAGCCTCTTCAGAGGCAGAAAGTACTGCATCGTAATGTGTTTCTCAACAGCTCACAAACATTCTTTTGTTAGTTTACACATCTATAGCATAATCCTATACATCTGTACTCAAATGTAGCTTCCACTGAGTTCATCAGAACTTACTCCCAGCTATGTGCATACAGAATTGAAGCCCTAATATTAGATTACAAATTGCATAATTGATCTACAAGTATTGTTGGGGAATTTGTTCTTTTGAAATGAACATTGTCATTATAAACTTTAATGGTCATGGTTGTTGGATTCTTTCTCAAATTTGTATCTGCAAATAATACTCCAGTTTTTGGTAATGTGGCTTTGATTTGTTGTGCCAGTTTTAGGTGCTACAGTGCCTGGAATCATTCAGAAGCAGTGTTAGAGTAGGGTAAGTAAAATTATGAATACTGAACTTTTGGCACAGAACCTAACCTTCTTATATTATTAAATGAGGGTTTGTTTGTTTTTTTTAAGAACACCTTCAACTCATTTTCAGAGAAGTGTATTTTTTGCTAGTGACTATGGCATAGGCTGAAAGATGTTACAGCAAGGAAGCACATGGCTCATTCATACACCCCACTTAATTCCGGCACAAAGTTGCCTTGATAACCGTAGTTAAAAGAAATGTGCTCAGGATGTCATCTCTGTATATCTCCAGCCCACTGAAGAGGCAGCCTAAAGTTGTCTTTAGTTGTGTAGTGTTTTTCTTCTTCTCCTGATAAGCCTTGTCATCTGCACTATCTACAATGCTTTGATGACAGTGTTGACAATGATCAAGTCAGGTACTGAAATCTGTTACACATTAGGTGTACTCCTTATATCTGCTTTTAACCATATGTCAGCTGTCTTTCAAAACACCAATATACCTGTCTGGGAAAAAAAAGTGAAGGCAGGTGGTTAATTTAAATTGGACTAATTTAAATTGGTTAAAAATGACTATTAAAGGTGTTACGTTTAACCTAAAGAGAATGGCTTCTTCTACTTACCTTATTTTTTATTGAGTGTGTGTGTGTGTGTGTGTGTTGCCATATAGGCTACTCCAAGGCCATACTGTGTAGCCTACAGGCTATTTCTGGTTGCTATCACATGTGGGCTCCATCTTTAAGTATGATTACCACACTTACAAAAGAGCAAGTTCACTTATTTGTTTTGTTTTACACAGGAATGTGGATCTTCCAGAAGATAGACATTCTCATTTCAGAAATAAATAGGTAAATCAATAAATCAATAAATAAAACTATATGTTGTTGGGCTATAGGAGACTCATGGGATGATGCAAGCTATGTCCAAACTGACAGGATGGCTGTTCATTTTCTTTTTATTTTTATATAGGAAATTAATCCTTATATTGGTATACCAATATTCCAGAATATCTATAATTCCTGTGTCAAAACCCCAAGTCTCTCACTCTCTCTGGCTCACTGATCATCAGGGGTAGAAGGTATGTGGGGTGATAGAAAGAGGACTCTGTGATGTGCCTGCAAGTTCTCTCTCACTTCATCCAGCACCCTCATATACCCACCAACCTGTCTGCTGGAGTATTTGTTTATTGATAGTGGCATAGCTGTAGTCCTGAAGACAGATAGATGTTTGCTCAGAGAACTTGAAAGGTAGCTAAGTCTTTCTTTCAGGCACCTCTGGTGTCCCCAACTCCATTCTGCCACATTTTATGAAGAACTATAGGTGTTGTTGTTTTTCCCACCAGCACACAACACAGGGTGGGAGGGGAAAAGAAGCTGGGAAATCCACCAGTCTCTGCCTTGAAAGTGCTTTGCCCTTTTCTGCTTTCCTTAATAGACTCTTAGTGAATACATAATAATCTGAAGATGATGTGAAATATATTTAGAAGTTAATCCTGGGACTGTGACAAATGAGCATTAAACTCTGTACTTTATATATTACTGTTTAGATATCCTTGATTTTCATATGACTATGATGCTTCTCTCTGACTTCACTCATCTATTTAGAGAAAGGCTTCATTGAATTCTCACATCTCTTTCCCTCTATGAACTCTTACACAGTTGCCAAAATAACCCCTCTTAGTAAGTGACAGGTTTAAAAACCAGACAACAGCTGAGTTCAGTCCAGAAGCTCGGTACAAACAGACTGGAGTGTCTTTCCTAGGAAACAAGGGATTTTTGTATATTAAGGACTCTCAGAATTTTTAAGTATAGATAGATAATTTGAAGATGAATATTCAATCTTGTGCCAGATGTGGCTATGGGGTCTATCCTGCTGAGAAGATTAATTGTATTGATCAGGTTAGTAGTTAATTATTGTTTGCCATCATTATGAACATTCTGATACTCTCTCTCTGTATTGAAGAAATGACATTTATCTGCTTTTATTCAAATCAATAGAATATACCATGTCCTAAAGTATCATAATTTGTTGCAAAGCTTCATTTCTTAGAGATTCTAAAGGAGAAATGGATTTATAGCATACATAATGTGTGTATGTGTATGTGTGGTTTATTAGACAACCAGGAAGAATTACTTATAAAATTTTAAACTAGATTTAGAAAATGCAAAACAAACATATTTCACTATATTTCTGTCTGCTTTTCTAGACCTGGCATAAAGCCTGCTTTCACTGTGAAGTTTGCAAGATGATGCTAACTGTAAATAACTTTGTTAGTCACCAGAAAAGGCCTTACTGTCAAGTGTAAGTGTGTACATTTTGTTTTATAATATGACCAGATTATATGAATAGAATTCATACAATTGGACTGAATTCTGATTCTATTGAAGATTTGCTCAGTTGGTTTTTCAGATAAATTGGTTAAGTCAGATTATAAAGTACATCCATATCGTGGGGAAAAACAATATGGATTAAAAACTGTTCCTGGTATTTAAAATAATAAATGCAGTATATTATGAACTACAACTAAGCTTTTTCTTTAAAAGCACAGGTGAAGGTATGATAATTTAAAAGCAAAAGATAGAGAAATACCCGAAGACATGTATCCAAGAGGTGTTAAGTAACAGTTTAGTTATGTGCCAGGCTGTTCTGTCTTCTCCCACCTTCTAATCTCCAGATGTGTTGAGTTACAGCTCCCAGATTTACCAGCCAGCCTGCTCAAAAGATAATGGTGAGAGTTGTAGTTCAATAGAATTATAAATCCTAATTAGTTTGAAGACCAAATAGGTATACTGTGGAAGATCTGTTTTATATAAAGTGCACAACTTGAAGCACCAGATTGTATGATTCTAGTCAAAGCTTCAGAGACCGGAAGTCATTTCTGATAGAAGAGAAAAATAATTACATGCATGCCTGGAAGGTAATTATATTAACTATGCTTAATTTAGTTTAAATGCCATTGAAATAAACTCAAAATTAGATTTTTTTTCTCCCTGAATTTACCCAACTTGTTTCGCAGTGCAGCCTTGTGCTGTTTGAAGACCTACTGTGAACCTTAGCCCAGAAAAGATGTGTTTCCTTAATTTAGAGCAGTTATTGGCAACATGTGACTTTCCAGATTTTAAATTCCTATTCCATCAAGTGAAAAAAGTTAACACTTCTAATACTATAATCTTATTATAAATCACCTCCAATCCTATGGAGGATATTTATTTAACCTGGAAGCATAAGGAAATGACATTAGGAAGTGGCTCACCTTTGTGTTACTAGGCCTGATTTGAGACTTCGTTCAGTTGGCCAAATCACTTTCTCCATCCCTCGTGCAGCTACTACTAACTTCGCTGGGAAGAAAAATGCCCATAATTACTTGCCATTATAGTACAGTTAATTTGACAATGCTGCAATATGGCTGTTGTGCAAGTACTTCTTATATGTATCTTTTCTACGTTTGAGTTGACTGGTAAACCGTGTCTTGCAGAGTTCATATTCATAACTTTCAGAGGTTCATGTTTACTCACTATTGCCTGTAATATGTCACATTCTTATTGCTTTTGTCGTTAGCATTTTTCATTCTGAAAACAGCAGTTCCAGTGAGTATTTTCTGGTTACTTTTGAGTTTTTACAAATTCCTCAGAACTGCCACAATTCTGTTTTCCTGACCTTACTCCCCTATACTGGCCCATATGATCAGTCCTGCACTGAAGGACTGTCACAGCGGGATACTGAATACCCCAAGCCTGAAACAAACAGCTAAATTTTATGAAGAAATTAATAATGTTCCTCTTAATACTCATACACAATCATTTATGCAACAGAGAAAGCCTTTCAAGGTATGTTGAATTTCTTCAGATGTCAGAACTTTGGTGGTGTACTTGTAGTGTCTTCTGGTATTGTAAGGTTAGCAGTTCCCACCTGCTGGCTATATCATAAGTTTTTCTTTAGTTTACAGACATTAAGAGAGCCAGTTTGGTGTAGTAGTTAAGGCACTAGGCTAGAAACTGGGAGACTATGATTTCTAGTCCTGCCTTAGGCATGAAGCCAGCCAACTAACTTTGGAACAGTCACTCTCTCTCAGCCCTAGGAAGAAGGCAACAGCAAATCATTCCTGAAAATCTCGCGAAGAAAGCTTCTGGGACTAGTCTAAGCAGTCAGCAGGAGTTAACAATGACTGGAAGGCGCTCGTGCGCGTGCACACACACACACACACAAAGACATTAAGCCATTCTCCTAATGGTCTCAGTGTTCCTGTTATCTTCTTTTTGGCCTCCTGGAACCTCTCTTTCAGGTCTGATTTTCAGCATTGAAGCTGATACCATTTCTTCATATGGTTTTCCTGTGACCAGTTTCCTGAATTCACTCCTGCCCATTCTTTCTGTAAATTTTCTCAATCATCCTCCATTCATATACTTAAAATGCTTATATGATATTTATGTTGTAATCCATAAATATAGATGTCATGGTAATAATGATAAAAGAATGACATGATTACATAAATTTCTAAATACAGTCATTAGAATAAGCCAAATAGCTATACAAGTACAAACAAGTCTCAAGGATGTCGTTAACATTTTATTGAGCAGACGTGGTAAGATAGTTTGAAGCCTGTTTGGTTATAGGCTCTTCAGTGCCCCATCCCTATTTGCACTTAAGTACAGCACACACATGTCCTGACAAAATTTTCCCCTTTAGCCCTATGATATTGACTTTATTTCATTTCTCAACCCATGAGTGAGAGGATCTTAAGTTATCATTTGATCACCAAACATAAGAGTAGCATTTTCCCCTTTATTCTGATTGTTCAGGTGAGTGCAATCTGATACACTTCATTGTCTGCTGACTTGAAGGCATAGTCAAATGACCACTAGCATCAGGCTTTACCCCTAAACTCAGAAGTAAATTTTACATCTCCAGCCACTTGCTTAGGAATAGGCAGAAACCTCTCAGATGAAACCTAGCTGGACTAGACTTTTTTACTGCAGATGAGAATGAAGCCACATGTTCACAGATTATTAGCCTCCTGCAGTGCCAAGAAATCAAAGCCTTTATATAGGACTATGTGTCAGAGTTTAATCTCTGGGTTTTTTTCTCCTGCTTCTCTGATATGTGGCAGTTCACTTGGAGGCCTTGGTCAGACATATTTACTTATCTCTTTAGTCTGGAAACTGCTGGCTGGCATCTTGGCCAGATTCAGCCCTCAGTAGCACTGGGTATATCAAAGTGCTTTAGAGAGTGTTGGGAGGCACAGGCATGTCATCTCCTGTGGAATCCTTGGTGCTCTCTGAACTTGGTTGTTTACTTGCAGACATTTCATTGCCCAACTAGGGAGCATCATCAGCACTAGAAAAGCCTGTAATAGCACAAAAAAACAGATACTGCAAACTCTGCAATTTATAAGAGAGAGGGGAGAGAGAGAGAGAGAGAGAGAGAGAGAGAGAGAGAGAGAGAGAGAGATCCCCAGCTAAAACCCTACATCTCTCTCTTCTGTCCTTACATTGCAATGGACTGACAGGCACTTATTTCTCAGCAGGCCAAGTACTTGATGCTTGGGAATGATTATTGTAATAGCCCTGTCTGATCTGAGGTCCTTTGCTTCTGACCTCGTTAACCTTAGCCACAGTGCAGCAATGCCCTCATGGGTGGATATTTTCCTTGCTCAATGATGACATACTGAAAAAGGATGTCAGCAGAGTCAGGAGATAAAAATAATTCCCTTGCCTATAATCAATGGCATTCCCACAAATTAGGATAACACCATTCAATGACTCAGAACAGGCAAGATAGAGACTAGTAGCAGAGAGAGCAAATTTCATGCTATTTTGGTTTCATGATGACTGAAGGATGTCTGGAAGATACTTTAACTCAGTAGTGAGAAAGGCCCAATCTCTTGATTAAAAGCAGAGACATACCGTGATGTGCTTCTCTAGTGGTATAAAACGAGTAATTTCCTTTAAGCTTGTACGATTCAATGTCCTCCACATATTGAAAAAAGTTAAATATTCAATGCCTGAAACATAATCATTAGATTTTTTACATTTATAATTACATATAAGAATATATAAATTGTTTCTAAAGTCAAAGGATAAGTAAAAAATGGTTTTTCCAGTTGGAATTTGTTCAGTGATTAAATAAAAGTCACCATGAATAGTTTTTCTTAAACATGTATTTATTTATTTAAAATATATATTTAAGTAGTATGTGATTTTGTGTGTAACTCTCTATTTAAAAGACTGTTATTCTTTTAAGTGTTATTGATAATAATTCTCTAAAATTGTGCCTACTTTCTTTCATAGACATAACCCTAAAAATAATGCATTCACAAGTATTTTTGAGACGCCAATAAATATGAATGTGAAAAAGCAATCTGAAGCAATAAGTGAGGTAAGATGCATTAGGAGGTAATGTGCTTTGTATCAAGCTGTAATGTTAGTATTTTTTAGGTAATTATAAAAGGAACTATTTTACTCCTTCCATCAAAATCCATAATTTTTCTAATTTCCCAGGTTGCTAGTAGCTAAATAAATAAATAATTTTAAAGTTTTCTATTGACTTTGGCATAGAGCCTAAGATATTCTATTTTAAGCAGAAATATAAAGTCAACTGAGTTTTACATACCATTGGAGAAATCTGGTAAAATATTATGGAAGTTGTTAGATACCATTCCCCCATTCAGTGAAAAAATCCTTTGAAATATGTCCAAATACTTTTAACAAATATTACTGTACTGCCAGTTATAGCTTTCCTAAAGTTCTGGATTTAGTTTTTTTTTTGTACTGTGTACCAGTTTTCACTATTGGAACAGGAAATATCTCCTACAATCCAATGTATATTTGCTTTGATGTAAATTCTTCTTGCTCAATGGATTTATTCCTGAGTAAACATAGACAAGTTTGCAGATTTAATGCATGATAAGAATATGTATTTTATGTTCTATTTCATTTAATTTATGAAAGCTATTGGTGTTACAGTTTTATGAAGCTTATTCTATATTGTGCCTTCTAAGATTATTTCTTGAAATTTCTTATATATATTTAAAAAAGCAAAATTAGACTTCTGAATTATCCCTTAATGAAACTATAAGAACAACAATTATATTTCTTTTAAACTGAGCATGAGAGATCTGCTCAGGAATGAGTCAGCGATCAAAAGCAATTTCTATTTCTGTTTGAAGGTCATGATAGGAGATCTTGTTACTTCCAGGAAACTTGATTGTGCTACTAAAATCAGAGATTACTTTTCCTTTCCTTTTGCCATGTAGAAGACATCCTGTTACATTCAATCAAAATAGGAAACTTCAGAGAAAATTCAAAGAGAAGTTTATACGAGCTGTTTCTCACAATTTCGTTTTGTATGAATGGTTTATTTTGGGAAGCTTCCAGCTTACTCAGTTTGGAAGGATTCTGTCATAGTTACTGTCAAAAGCTGCTGAGAACCCCAAAAGAAGTAACAGTACCAGTTTTTGTCCCAAAGCCAGTCAGAAAGGCTGACTAAAGATCAGATTAACTTAATTTAAAATGCCTATTGGTGGACAGCTATTTATTCAAACACTTTATCCAAGGAAAAGATTTTGCACCCTGTAGTTATCAATACTTGTGGATGCAAAATAAATTTTTCCAAGGGCAGTTTGAAAACAACTTCTTTCAAAGTGCAAAATTAATGACCTTGTGAACTTAAACATCTCTTCCCTACTTACAAGTTCTGACACACCAAGATACACAAGGATTAAATGTAGTAGTAGTTGTCAAACCTGTTCAAAACCCTTGTCCGCATTTTCAGTCCTCAACCTCAACATTTAGAATTCCTTTAATACAACTGAACAATGTGTTGATGTGGAAATCACTGCTGGATGACCATGTAAAAATTCCAGGTGATTGATAGGAAAAAAGTGTAAAGTGTCAGTTTTTATGGGTGTGCATTTCTAATAGTAAACCATATCTAGGGTACGATCTGCTACATGTGTTGGGCCAATGATTCTTAAGGAAACTTCTGCAGTTATCATGGTATAAATGATTTTTTTCTACCAGATAAAGCAAAGCAGTTCCCTAGAACCTCTAGACTGGAAATCCTTGGCACCAAGTTTCAAATCATATCTTAGCTCAAGTACTGAAATTGTTAAGCAGAGGGGTGAAAAATATAATCTATATTGTTTCTAGAAAGCCGTGCATCAGATACAGACATCACATTCTAGGAGACAATTGTGGGGAGGAGCATGGAATCTAGGCTGATGTAGTACTGAGTACCTTAATTGACAAACTTAGTCCTATAGTTTCTAAAAAAAAATATCTTAAAACTTGTGCTTTCTGACTAATGTCTCTTTGAAATACACAATGAAGACTGCAGAACTTGAAAATTCAATCCAGTTCTGGAATGCTAAGATAGTTTATAATTGCTTTATGACTTTCTTTCTTTAATACAATGCCCTTTTTATTCATTACAATTGAATCTGTTTGTTTATGCAGGTTAAGTATAGAGAAGAGGGCGAGAAATTCAAGTCCGTTTTTCACTGGGATGTAAAATCCAGAGATATGGAAGCCACACAGAAAATACAAAAAATAAATCAGGTAAAAAGCTGTTAAGTTATCAAGAGTTAATATACTACCCTCAGCTCTTCACAATTTTGTTGTGTTGCTTGATTGATTGAGCAGCCACATAGCTAGATGAGAATGATATGCCCCCAACCTGGCCCTTCAAGTTTCCCAATGGTGCATCCATTGTTGCTATACTTGAGTGTCTAGCTTGCTGTTGGTTGTCTTTTCTTTCTTTCATGTTTCCCAGCATTATGGACTTCTCAAGGGAGCTGGGTCTTTGCATAATGTTTCCAAAATATACTAACTTTAGTTTGGTTATTTTTGCCTTGAGTA